GATACACACATATAGACAGCATAATCATAACCAGTAAACCATAACCTTGTCCTAGACACCCCATTTGACCCCCTTTATACAAGATTTGGGTGCCACTACAGGACCTTGGTTGCAACAATGATCTATATGGTCCCAGTTTATGTCAATAACGTCACACCAGGCGAGGGGACTCAGCAGCCGCCCAGCCCTGGGGCAGGGGAATCCTGGAGCTCCCAGGCACCGCATCGGTGCAGGACCCAGAGCCCCAGCACAGCGGGTGCTGAACCCACCTCTCCCTTTTGTCAGGGATCCTTTTAGTGAAAGTCAGGGACAGGTCACGGGAAATAAACAAAAATTCACGGCAGCCCGGGACCTGTCCCTGACTTTCATTAAAAGGATCCCTGACAAAAACTTAGCCTTAATTATATAGCTTAACGGGCATTTATTCAGATTCTTAATTTTGACATTATCTTAGGAAATGATGCATTTTTTATTTGCTAGATGATGATGAACTTTTTACTTGTGATTTGTGTCAAACTCTATTTGGATGGAAATTCAAATTCACTGAAAATGTTCCAAACTGGCATTTTAAATTTTGTATTATTTATTATTATTTATTTATTCATTCATTTATTTATTATTATTTATTATTAAATAAAGCTACCTTAAATGTGCTGGATACGTAAGAAATTTTTTTTATCAAAACATGTTTTTTTCATTTAAAACTAACTGCTTTATTCAACAAAGGCTGCATTATCTGAAATTCGTGAATTGAACTGATTATTTCTTGTCACCGTATCCTTTAAGATTTTAGAACTAGCTGATCTAGTCCTCTCACACCTAGTTTTTATTCACTGATTGAAAGAGGCACACAGGTTTTCCTTGGTTTTCAACTCCCATTGGTTTCTTAACTTTGATTGAACCAGTCACTGAACTGAGCTAGTTAGATAAACTGAAACGAAGAAAATACCCTCGCTGCACTTGTAGAAAAGCCCACTGCTGTGGAAAGCTGGGTGAGCACTTCATACTCTTGTTCCAGGTTCTTAGCCAGTGGTGGTTTGACATTCTTTAAAAGTTGGCACCAAATATATACTACTCGATATTATTATTTTTTGCATTTAATTTAAAAGTTTTAATAGATTCATGATAAATATAGGCCTTAACATAGGTTGTCATTATTTCAAATTTCATTTTAAATAGGTTGGTTTTTTAAAAAATAAATAAATGTGCATTTAATTTAAATAAAAAAAACCATTCAGAAAGTTGGATTTTTTAAAATATTTTTTTAAACATTGATTGTTATGCCCCCAGCCTGGCATGGGTTTGAGCCGATAACCTTGTGATGAAAGTGCTTCATATCTCTTTACCAGGCCCAATCCAGCTAGTATCACTGGGAGGCCGTGTGATCCATTAGAGAGAGCTCTGATTGGGATTCAGGCCCCCATAGTTGTATTCCAGATGCTGAAATGGGCAACTCATGGCGCAGCTCTGTGCCTCAGTTTCCCCCATTATAAAATGGGGATAATGCTACTCAGCTCCTTTGTAAAATGCATCGAGATCTACTGAGGAAAACTGCCAGATAAGAGCTAGGGATTGTTGTTATCCTGTCAAGTGAACTAAAAAAGACATGCCACCAACACGCCCAAGAAAAATACTGACGAGTCAGACCCTCAGCTGATGT